TTATATTCTTTTCTCTACCAAAAACAAAAAAAACTAAGTAATATTAGACTTATTTTGCATATACTGTTAATAAATATCTTGTTTTCAAAACATTTCTTTTTCTCAAATATCATCGTTCAGTACAATGATTATTAAACTAATTTATTTTTCAGATAAACATCTATGCAATTTGCAAGCAGTTCTCTGATTTAACAGAATTACTCAATTACAAATATTGATTAATTGTGAACAAAAATGAACGGTAGTTATGTTATGTTTAAAATATGATACATGCATGATTCTGCGCACAGTGGAACATAGAGATTATTAAATTAATCTGTTCGAATAAACATCACTGATAATCACCATGTCAATAAACATAATATAAGCACTGTTTAACAGTTTTAATATATACATAATACATGATTACATTACATAATATAATGTTTTATTAAGTAATCAATGTGTCCATCCAGTAATATATTAATTCATCTGTATCTATGTTATTGTTTCATTATTTTCTATATTAAAAAATATAAAAACATAAATTGGAAAATAAAAACAAAAGATAAATTAAAAAATACTTTGACAATTAATAGTAATTTTTCACGTAATTGTATATGTATGTAATTGTATACGATAATTGTATATATTGCTGAATATTTGTTTTTTTTTTTTTAGTTTGGTCAATTATGAGTTTTGAAAACTCATCTATCTGTGAAAATCGCACGTAATGCTCACTTCTTCGTGAATTTAGTAGAACGATGCAGAGTCTTCATTATTTAAATTAATAGATATATGCATCAGATTGATCAGAGAATCAGAGAGAATCATTAATATTGAAATTGCAATGGGCAAGGAGATATTCTATTTTTACTGTAGTAAAATAAAACTAAAAAAAATATTTTTCACATGAGATATGTGTATGGTTAACGAAAACGAGCAATTGAACCGCAGACTGTTTTTTTGCAACGTTTCGAGCTCAACTGCAAAAAGATAAATATTGAACCGCAGACTTTTCTGTTTTGAAATATGCCAGCAATAGGTATATTTTTTACTCGTATCGTGCAGTTCACATAACATTGCTAGCTAACGAACATGTATGTAGAGAAGAGGAAAATTCTTCATACTAAATTCATACTAAATTCGTATGCGATATATATTGATATTCAGCTCTTTTTATTCTAACAAAATGTACAAAAATCAAGGTAAAGAAACACGATATAGGAAAGAAGCGTTGTTATTGTATTATTGTTATTTCAAGTGTTGTTGCAGATTTTCCGACACAGACAATAATAATATTCTGGCATTTCTCTGGAAATTCTCTAATAAACGTTAAATCGCGAAACTTATCGAGAAGGCCGCTTTCAGATAACGTATCAAAATAATTTTATCTATTTATATTCAACTATTCATGTTGATAGCATAAAAAAAGTAAACAATAAAAATAATTATCCTTTTTCTCGATTTTTCATCTTTAAACCGTGTTATTATTAGATTGCAATAATGAGAGATTTATTTTTAATTGAGTTTAGCGTTAACGATGATTCCTTTATCTTAAATTAATTGACAAATTAGTTGTGCGTACGTATCTCGTTTCCAATTTGCAACGTTAATTAATTAACTGCTCGTTGAGTATGTATTTTATTGGAAATCGCTTTGCGGCGTGATCCTACGTTATCTATCACCCTATAATTGGTATTATTATTCTGCGATAACAACAGCAATTTTAAAATGCGCAATAACCAATTGATAATTACTTATCGTCGGAAAATATGTTAATATTATGATTTTGATTTGCTTCAAACTAAAAATTGTATTAAACAATGAGTAATACCTCTCAAAAGAACATTAATTAAAAAAATAAAACCCGAAATTTAAAACACTTCTAATATATTATACGTATACATAAATATAAATTTTATGATGCAAAAGTTTTCAATAAAAGTTAGCATTTTAATGTAAAACTGCTTTTACAAAATATCAAACTCGCGTAACGAGAAATTCAGTTCATGTCTATTCATACAAGTACGCAAAGTTGAATAGAAATGCATTCGTAGAACACAGTTTTATATCAATGTATTTCGCAGAATTTATGTATTGTACAAACCACCTTTTCAAGCCGTAAACTAGTTCACTCAAGTTCGCTCACGTCAAATTTGTTAGGATTCCTCTAATGATATGCTGAATGTTGGACTTGAATATTGGACTTGAAGTGCAAAGGCGCAAATTACTATTATTTCTAGCTAGAGTTTCTCTGAACACAAACACATTTGAATGTATAACATCTCCTATTGTAACTGATATGCGGCAGGTGTTTCGTGTTCCAAAACTGCACTTGTAAATACACCTTATGCATATTTTCACGACAAATTGCATAAATATTGTCAAAAATAATAAATACAAACGCTGTCTGTCAAAATATACACAAAATATTAAAAGTAAAGCTTGAAATCAAAACAATATGTATTAATAAACAAATCGGCAGTAAAAATGTAAAACTTGCTAATGTTTTTGACGCGAGATGAAACATTTTATATAAATATTTTATAATAATACAGATTTTATTTTCTGTTTATTTTGTTGTTTACGCCTCAATAGCTTTCTGTGTCATAAATTAATTTTATTAATCGTACAGATTTGATCGTCTCAAATGATTTTTAGCGTGCACAGACACATATGCGTAGCGCATGCCGATGATACTGCATCGAAAGCCGCAAAACGAAATATAGCACAGGCGCAAGCGGACAAATAGCCGCAAATACTTATTTCTCATGTCACGCGAAGCAATACCGTGCAACACGATAGGATCTCATTTGCTAAATATAATTTTCTCGCTTCGCGACCTCGCTAAGCTAGTAAACAAATTTAGTTTGTCGACACGATAGTGAACGTATAGATGTATCTAGAAATCTGTTAATAGTTTTGCAACGCATGAATTATTTATTAAGTTGACAATAATAACAATAATAATAACATAAATTTAATTTATAATTATTTAAGTTTATGGTAAAACGTCTGTCCGACGATCCGTTTTTAATTAGTAACAAAAATCTGTTGTGTTTCTTTTTAATTAAATGTAACTTGTCAATCAATACAATTCATATCATTACTATTTGATCGTTGCTTAAGTTTCATTATCACGTGAGATTTACGCGATTATATCTCGTTCGTTTTATTTTCTAAATGTGATTAAAGTTTGTAACAATCGCAATATCAAACATGATACAATAACAATTGCCATTTAACACAAGCATTTTTTTATTACTATGTTTTTATAATTCAAGAGCATATACTCAAATTTATAAATGAAATAAACGAGAGTTCATCAATATTTTTTTACCAAAACCGATAAAAATAAACAAAATTTTATTGTCATAACTGTAAACAATGATCAAATCAAAATTGCAATATTGTAAATAAATCTTTAATTCTACAATAATAGTAGCTGAAATAACAAAATAAATTCGATTTCAGTGATCAAGTTTCTCTAACAATAACTCAACTTATCAGAATTTCTAGTATTAACATAGTTTTCAAACATATCAAAATTTTACATTCTACGTGAAAACGTGTTTGACGTTAAATTATACAAAATATTAATTTGAAAGTTAACTAACATTTTGAAGCATTATTTGTGTGAAAAATTTTATAACAAAATCTAATACGTAAAGTTAATTGCGTTTGCTATTTATGTCTCACGTACAAAATAAAATAAAGAATATTTGTATAAAAAGAAAGAAACGACTTTAATCAAAAGCTACGTGATATGCAATTAACTACAACAATCAAGATGAAACATTTTATTGTAATGGACAAATCCGCCCGGCTCCATGACCTGTGTCAAACTCTTTATCTGTTATTTATTCATTGCCATAGAAATGATTTTTTCTTCTGTTTTGTGTCATTTTTAAGTAGAGAATTCTAATTTGGCAGTTTTAATAGATAGATTGAGTGTTGTAGGGCTAATCTGACCGTTTGAAGTATTGAAGTAAGCATTTGTAATTTTAATTATTTGCAAATTAAGTGAAAAAAAGTAGAAAAAAGATTTCGACTCGGGATTTGAGGCAGGTTTTTATTAGTCTATCTAAATAAATGTGCGATCCTTGAGAGCGTGGAAGCTCAAATCATTCTTAAACGTGATAAAATTTCAACTCGAATGGTATCACGTAGTATCACAAAACTCACACGTAATGCTGCTCTCGACGTGATTCTCCACATCTCAATGTCTCGTAATTTCCAGTACGATTGGCACTGTCAGGTGCAGCAGCACGACAATGTACTCACAGAATGCACTTGCACTACTCGCCACTCGCGCACGTGTACTGTATAGGCGTTATCACAACTACTGAATCACTGCATTATCGCGGCATGTCGCTCACTGAGTCGTGTATCGACAGCGCATATATACTTTCTTCAACGAGAGTGAGTTGTCCAGGCCATGATCGCGCGGCTCTCGGCAAGCATCTTTGGATACGTCGCTCTTCGAAGCACTCGATGCTTGCACCGTTCCTCGCGCGAAACGTCTTAGTAGCCTTCGAACGGAAGTCACTCGATCTGAAGATTCTTTATCTCGGTTAAACGTAAGCGGAAATCAACATGATCCGAAGCATTCGCTTCAGCCGTACAGCTGAATAATGCAGCAGTCGCAGATCTCATATTCTAACATTTTAACGTTCTTCTTATCTCCACAATTGCGATCATGGCGTTCTGAAGGTGCTTACTGCAGGGCATCCGTGGTGCGAAATCGACATTTCGTTCACTTAACACCGTTCGTTTACACATAAGAAATTGCCGGGATTCGCTGCGAATTGGAACGACGAGTCGATACTTACGATGCGAGAAATTGGAAAAAATCGCTGTGCCTGTCGCGTTCAAATCTAAGTTCGCCGACAAACAAGTGCAAACTCCGAACCTAGAGCTTCGATTCTCAAAGTTAATTTTGCAAGCGCGCGGAAACATTTGTCTTTCTCTCTCTTTCTTGTGCCTTCCTTCTCTGTCTTCCCTTCTCCGTGGAGAAATGTAATACAAGATTCGATTCCCAAGTTAAAATTCTCTCGCTTGGCGAGTCAAAGAGTGAGTAGAAATCGTGTCGCCTTCCAGGACCGCGTTATCTTTCTTAAAGAACGATAGCTCGATTAGGATAAAACAAGATCAAAAAAAGGACAGAGAAATAGAAAGAGAAAGAAAGAGTATACATATGCGATAGCACAAGAAGTAATGCGACAGTGAAAAGGAAGGAAGAGACAAAAAACGGAAGGTGAAGACAAAGGAAAGAAAAGGTAGCTCGAAACACACGCGTACCCAACAAAGCTCGCAGCGTGGCGGGTCGACCGCGACTGAATCGTTGTCGAGTCGACTGGGGTCGAGCTTGAATGAGTGAGCGTACCTCGAGCTCGTGAGTAGGAAAGAGAGGGAGGCAAACACGATACGAAAGGGAAGTGAATAGGGGGATGGATATATAGCGCCAAGGGAGAGCTTAAGCCACCGACCAATAGCATCGGCAAAATTTCGAAGACCCTACAATTTTTAAAGAGATCACGTTTTTTTCTACAGTAAAAGCTTTACGATGTCTTCCGAAGTGTCGTGTCGTAATTCAACCGCGATTTCTAATTGAAATGTCAACAGAAAAATTTTGACTTACTGTTACCGTTTCTGTTATTACATTATGGCAATCTTTTTTTAAAATCTTGAGTATTTTCTTTCAAAGTATAAATTGTTTTCTATTATTCAATACATCGAAACACATGTATAAAAATAATATATAAGAATAATAGGCGCGAACAAAGCAATGGGAATTACTTATTTACAATTAGATACATATCTACTTAGAAAATTATTTACTTAAAAAGGAAGATTACTTTGACCGCCCAAAAATATAATGCAAAGAAACAGAATATAAAATAATTTATTTAATAATTGTCCTTTATATCAATCAAAATGCAATAATTAATTTTAAACAATTTGTTGACAAATGGGCATGATTCCGTTTGACGTGTTTCACAGCTGCACTGTATGTTCAGTTTAAAATCGAGACTGTGATCGAAAATACGTTAAAATTTTACGTTACTTTTGCAATTTTTTTGTTACAAATATTTGCATAAAAATATAAAAACGGAAAGAAAATGAGCTGAATCGATGATTATGTCTTCGAATTCATTGTCTTTTAATTTTTTCGCAAACGCACTCGTGAATGATATTTCCCGTTCTTGCATAAATTAATTGCAAAATTTTTCTTGGCGGTTTAAACGCTCTTATCAATACTACAGTTACTTTTTTTAATTACTTTTGACTTTTTAAATGTTAAGTACTTTCAACGGCGGGGACAAGAGCTGAACTCTCGTTGAACGATCAAAATAAAAAATATGATGAATCTTTTTCGAGAGCACTTATATAACAATAGAATATAAATGCATTTACTACAAATCGATGTGAGCTTGTTAAAAGAAGGTATTCAATTGTCTGACAAAGCCGTCTTATTTCTACCTGCGCTCCTACTTGTCTACCTGAGCGTACGAATTTTGCCATTACACCTCGCTCTCTCCATTCAATTACTCCAAAAATTTTTCGAAAAATTACTTTACACATATCTTTTAGATACACAGTGGATCTTGAAAATATAAAAAAATCAATTTTTTAATTTGCTAGACCAGAACTACCTTTTAACAAACATCTGATAAGTCTTTCATTATTGAAGATATTCTCGAAATTATTTTATAATTCTCCTATGCATTGTATGTATCTGCCATTGATTGAAATATTATGAATATTCATTTATTGATCAATTTTTATAGTACGTCTTGTACTTACAACTACGGAATTTATGTTCTATGGTCCAAAAAATAGGAGATTTTTACGAATTTTTTTTAAAGAAATGAATAAAGATATCAATATAGGAGTTTGATCATATTATTTATCATTGTTTTAAGTACAAAAAAATTATTAAATAGATTTTTCAACTGTTAAGTTTCAGTCTAAATATTTCGTTAATGATTACGGCTACTTAAGTGAGGTAAGATGTGTGAGGTTCTACAATCTAAAGTTCAGTTTTCATTGGACCACGATGCTTTACAGCTACGGTCAATGCTTACGATTACAGAATTGGTGTGCTGCGGCCTTAAACACTCTAGTGTGAACTGGGCATTAGACTTCACTGCTCCTTTTTCTACCTAGAATCTCTGCTCGGAGTGTAAAGAAATTTGGCAGCCCTAGTTCTGACCAGTTTTGGTAAAACTGCACGCGAGTGATCTGCTGTGGCCGGATATTGTTTATATTGATTTGATTTATTCTTCACATTGTTCGCTCTGTCCATGTTGGTTATAGATTCCAGTTATTGAACTAAAAGAGCTATGAAGAGAGTAATTATTTTTGTTAATGGGACCGATGTTAATGGCAAGGTGCCATATTTAACTCATAGTAAATTATATTTGATTTTATGCTTTATATTTATTGCTTATATATTAAATATTTAATTTCTTATTTTTTCAAATTCAATTCGTACATGTCTATTGACATGTGAGTTTGTCATATATTTTACATAAAAATTGTAACCACCTGATGAAAGTATTACACGTAGCAAATATTTTATTATATGTAATTCATTTATGTGTGTGTGTTGTAGGTATTTGTAGTGACTCATTCATTAGATGAATTATTGGCAGCAGCTAGTGCAAAATTTAAAATAATTGCTAGAAAAATTTTTACACCACAAGGTGGAGAAATCGATGATATGAAGTTAATTAGGTAAAATATTTATTTACTCTTTTATTATAAAAATTTCACTTATACAACTGTGTCAAATGCATACTGTATCTTATCTCCTTTTATGGCACAAATACATCTAGCTTTAACATTTATTTTTACAGACTATTAAATAATGTTCCACAATTTTTTTCACAGAGACGATGATATTTTGTACATTTCAAGTGGAGAAGATTTTATACATACAAATAAGATACGTAGTCATAATCAATTAAATAGAAATTCCGAATGGATTACACTTAATGTAGGAGGAAAATATTTTACTACAACTAGGGATACTTTAAAGAAAGAGCCTATGAGTATGTTAGCAAGGTATGTAGCTGTATTTAATTGTATCTGTGTGAGATGCACATAGAATTTAACGCAGCAGTGTGACCGAGATGGACACAGTAAGTCGGCCACATTCCGTACACACTTTTTTCTTTTTGTGTCTGCGACCTTCGATAATGTGTCAAATTTTTCATGTGTTTGTTTGGAATGTATTCGACTTATACCGTATCCGTTTCACACTGTATCCGTCCAGTAAAATAGATATAAAAAGATCTCATTTCAATTTTTAGTATTTTTGACTGAATGGATTTTTATCCATTCGAGATCAATTAATCACTGTTTTATTATAAATTTAAGTCTTTTATCAGCAAAGATGATACAGTGATGTTATTAATCACTCTTAGATCAATGAAAATCTGTTCAGTCGAAAATGCTATACGTGAGAATAGCATATTGAATTATGAAATTCAATAACAAACACAATAAAGAATAAGTAGAATGTTGGAGTTGTATTATGATCATATAATAATGAAATCTTCTACATAGAATGTTTACAGAGACTACGAATGCTGAAAATGCAATACAGCCAAGTAGACAAGATCATAATGGAGCATATTTAATTGATAGAAGCCCTACTTACTTCGAACCACTGTTAAACTATTTGAGACATGGTGAAATAATACTTGATTCGAATGTTAATACAGCTGGTATGTATGATGGTTAAATATTATTTGTTGAAATCGGTATAAGGAAAAATGTTTTCGATATAGTAAAATATTTTAATTCAGGAATACTGGCGGAGGCTTATTTTTATGGCATCGAAGGTGCGATTCGAATTCTTACTACGATGTTGGAAAAAGAAAAATTGCAGAGAGAGGGTCTTGTCTCTCTAACTCGTAAAGACGTACTTAAAGCAATTATGTCAACGCCAACTAACGCAGAACTTAGGTTCCAGGGGGTTGATTTTGTAAGAGCTGATCTTTCAAAATTAGACCTCCGAAATATTAACTTCAAGGTACGTTCCACTTCTCGTATTAAAAATAAATGAATCAATATGGAGGAAGTAATATTAGCAGGGAATTGTGTCGATTTATTTATGTATTGTTGCAGTATGCCATTATGCACCATTGTAGTCTGGCGGGTGCCAATTTATCAGGATGCTGCTTTGAGCGCGCCGATTTGTCTCACGCTAATTTACAAGGCGCGCAGCTTGTGTGTGTCAAAATGTCATGTGCAAATTTAGCTGCAGCCAACTTGCATTCGTGCAATTTCGAGGATCCCGGTGGCTTGGTCCCGGCGAATATGGAGGGCGTGAATCTGAAAGGTGCCAATCTCGAGGGTAGTAATATGGCAGCTGTCAATCTGCGAGTAGCAACATTAAAGAATGCTATTCTTAAAAATTGTGTCTTGAGATCCGCTGTTTTAGCCGGTGCCGATTTAGAGGTAATTGTATTATTAAATGTGTAGTACTCTCTTTCTCTCTATTCTTAGCATTAGTGGTATACTTCACTCTCTAATTGCATTATATAATATACATACACAATATACATTTGTATTAATTTTTAGTGCTGTGATTTATCTGGCTCCGATCTGCAGGATGCAAATCTGCGTGGTGCAAATTTGAAAGACGCCGCTTTTGAATTAATGTTAACTCCACTACATATGTCCCAAACAATTCGATAACAATGAATGTGCTGCATGTATTATTGCAGCTAAAATCCTGAAATAATGATTTTGTCATGATTGACATACACAAACACACCCACACATACACACATTATTTTTTTCATACGTTATATACAATATGAGAGTACATAATTATTTTCTACAAATTATTAAGGTGATTGTGACAATGCAAACGCAGTATTTATTCGGGCATGATAATTTTTACATTTCTTTTTATTGTAAAATTATTTATAAGATTACCATGTACAAATTGTAATATTGATGCTTAAAATGTAATGATATTTTTAACTTAAATTATATTTATCTTATATATTTATACAATTAACGGAATGACAGCGCGTTGCACGTGGCCAGACCGTGGACTGTGCGATCTAGGTGGGTCAGCGGCGTGTCGCATGGCAACGAAAAATAACAGCGGTACGAAGATCCAGCCTCACGCGTCGTTTCTGCCCGTTCGCTGCTCGCGTGTTACTCCCCTCGCCCTGCGCTGTTGTTTTTCGTTGCCGTGCGATACGCCGCTGACCCACCCAGATCGTACAGTCCGCGATCTAGCCACGCGCGACGCGCTATCATTCGTCAATCCTATAGCCTATAGTTTTAGTAATAATAAGCAACTCATTCGGATCTCGTTCATACTCGTTTATATCTCATTCAACCCAATATTTGCCTTTCCTGTAAATTTATCATAGCGCAAGCGGATAAAATTAATATAATATATACATTATGTGATATAAGTAATATAATTTGATTCGAAATTCAATAGCTTTCTAGAAAATAAAACTACATTTCATCACATATATTTTGCACATTTTCTCATATGTATATTCTAATTATATATTAATCTTAATCTAGCGCCAAAAATATGTATTAGATCAGTATTACGCTTTAATTAGTAATTTTAGGAAGAGATAAATAAAATTTATTATAAAATAATATTAAATTTATTGTAAATGAAACTGTTGATATTTGTAATCATATGATTAATTAATTTTATTTGTTATGTTGCAATTATTTTATTTGTTATATAGAATAAACTTATAATAAGCATAATAAATAAGACACATTTAGGTCTCTTGTTATGCATATGTCTCATAACTAATACTTTTATTTTTTCTTCAATTTTTTTACGCTTTTTGAAAGTATTTCGAATAGAATTATATAGGAAAAAAGAAATGTTTATTTTATGAAAACATTTTATAAAAATGACTGGTGTCATCTTGACAGAAGCAAAAGAGAGATAACGATCCGAATTTAATAATTCATTTTTATTCCATCAATCTTTAAGCATATGCATTTGTGTGAACGGAATATTCGGACGTACAAACACATAAATCAGAACTTTTTTTATTCATGTTAGACTTCTTTAATCTCTCCGAATCCGGAGTTTCTGAGTTTCTCCACATGAGGTCTTCAGAATCATTTCAGATTTGGACCGTCATTTCTGTTATGTATGCGCGCTCGTATACATATACGTATACACACACGCACTAGGTATGAGTCGAACCGGGATACACTTTGGGTAATGTTAACGCCGTGTCAAATATTCACGAACAATAGATAAAATATTTATTTTGCGTTTTACATTTATAAGTAATAAATGTTTTATTTAATGTATGTTTGGAGATTGGGATTTGCCACTGAAATATTTATCTTAGTGTGTTTTAGCCTTAACAGTCCGCTCGATTAACGAGGTAAACGTGCATTCGTACGTCAGCTCGGTTAAGGAAAATCAAGCGAGTAAGATAGAGGGAGAGTTCGAAAGTAGGTCTTACACCGCTCAGTCAGTTGTTGACTACGTGTCTGAACGATTGGTTGGCATAATGGTGAGTTTTTGAGTATTGTCAATTGGAAAACACACTCATCAGTAAAAAGGCACGAAGTACCTACTCAATTTTTGTGAACACAATTTTTTTTCGTGCACATACTATCGGATTTACAGCGTGGTGCCACATCGATTTATTGCGTACGAAAATAAGTAAAAGTGTCTTGTATTGTGTTAATTGGTCACAGTCAAAATTAAAAAGTGTAATTTTTACACATGGAAATAAGTATTATTAGAATAATCATTTTATTAATTAAAATAATAATTTTTATTTTATAAAATTAATATATTGTTATACAAATACACCGCTTAATTACCTAAGTTTCACTCAGTGATTATTGTTCATATATCTTGATTATGTTTATTATCTTAGTCAAAATTTGAAATTGATACACTTCACCGAGTTCATTCGATTCGAGTAACTTTCTCGTGATACGCTCTTTGGGTAATGCTAATGCTATTCCTTCTACTTGTAACAAAAAATATGATTAATTATTATTTTGATAAATTAGAAATTTTTTAAAATTGCTTATCTTATCATTCTTGAATTAAAATCATGTAATTTCATAATATTTTGTATGTAACGCCTAATTTACTTTCTTTTTTACTATTTATTGCTTAATTTGAATAATTATTATTTCTGTAGATCGCGCTATTCTACGTACTGATTATCTTCTTCGGCCTAAGTCATTGTGATGATGTTCTATCAAGAATCGAAGTTGAGAATTCGATCAATCGAACGATCAATGAGGTCGAAAGATTGATCCGCCAGAATTCGACCTTACCGCATCTCAATAGACGCGAGATCGTCGATATTCTCCGTAATATTACGTCCAAAGATCTTGAGGCATACAAGGATAAACAGAAAATCGAGGAAGCAAGAAAAATCTACCAGAGAGCGTTGATGGTGGTTTTGCCTTACAACGCAGAAGACGCAGAAGAAAGCATTAAAGACTTGTACACCAAACCGCCTATAGTTGAAATAATAGCGGATCCTCTTCATAATCAGGAAAATTACGAAACGTGGAAGACCGCAAAGCTGCAGCAAGCAAACAAATTCACGCTGCACGATGAAGAATCTATTAAAAATCTAGTAGAGACACACACTTCGGAGAGGACAACGTCCAAGGAAAATCCACCCGAGAAAACATGGTATAAAAATCACAAAGAAACATATTCGGAGATGAATATGAATATCAAAGAGAATTTGAAGTTAGACTCGACGCCACTTAAGTTCAGCTTTAACTTGGAAAATCTACAGAAGCAATCGATGACTACCGAAGAACCAATAATCACCACTAGACAACCAGTGTACGTGAGATCAAGCAATGAAGACGAAGATGAAGATGTCGATGTAATATATAGCACAAGTGTCACAACAGTGCGATCGGTAGCGACGAGTCCCAAGAATGCCTTGATCGATTCGAAAGAATCGCAAACGTTGTTTCGTCCTTTAAAACACAACGAAAATGTTTTGTCTGCTGATCAATGGCGTTATCACGCGCCAACAATTACGCAAAGTCCCATGGCGCCGGCGAAAATTCCAAATTCCTTTAAAGTTTCCAGTAAACAACCATTTTCCTCAATTGCTACATTATTATCGGAAAATATTATGGCGCCAACGGTGATTAACAAAATTGAAAGCGCTTCGGAGACAGAAGCCTCGGAGATAATATCAGAAGAGATGGAAATCGAGGATGTCGAACAAACAACTTCTATTTACGTGACACCGATGTCTTCTTCCTCCTCTCCTCTTTCCGAGAAATCAAATTATAATTCCACTTACAATTTGAATCTCGGAGGATTCCGTAAGATCACGACGACGACGACGACGATGCGTCCGGAAGTGATGGATCTGATCGCTTCGATCGGACTTCGACCTGAAAATACTATACACATAGAGAAGTGTTCGAGAAGAATAAAGAGAATTTCGAGAATAAATCCCAAGTTCTCGACAGTAACGGTTTAATCTATACAACGACTTCCAGCTTGACGGCTGGCGAGCCCGACTCGCCATCAATAACCGGTCAGAACACTTTTGAAAGTTCCGTTTCAGAAATCGGGAAAGGGATGAACAATCTAACGCCGGATATACAGCTACTTTTTCAACGATTTGGCCTGCAGACGTCCAATCTCGTGACGCCGGAACCGACGTCAACGTCGAGACCGATCGTGAACACAAACTCTTACACCAATTTTAAACTTTTGCCGGCGTCCAACGTAAAAGATCAGGATATGAAAGAGTTTTTGGCGAGATTTGGGCTCGGCGTCAGCGATAGGCACAAAAAGGCCATGCCGATGTCGACGGAACGCTCGTCGTTGATCGACGTTGTTCCGGATAGTATGAAACCAATCTTAGAGAACATAGGTCTCATTTCCCGCAAGGCAGCGCCAAAAGTGGAGAGCACAGAACCGATGAAAATAACCAAGTTCCACGTGTTCAAACCGCACGAGGTTATAATAAAAGACGAGAAGCAAAAGATGCAGATCAATGAGCTCCTAGACACGATCAGGTTGGTTCAGGAGGGAAAAGCAAGCGCAAAAGATGTTCGGAAAATAGCCAACGATTTGCTCGTGACCACGAAGACTCTAAAGGATGGACCAGATCCGTTAAGTCTAGAAAAAATCATTACAGTCTATAACAATGATATGAAAAATGAGGTGAAAAGACAACAGAACTCGCAGAAAACTGTCGAGACGAATAGCGATCAGGATCTCGCAAACGTCACGGCAGCATCTACTGGTATAAAGAGATTCATGATATCTATTTTGGGCACTTCGGAATTCTGGGTTGAACGGATTGTTCAGAATCTGATGGGAATCAGGTGTATGCTAATTAAAATCAAATCATCTCTTGATTAAATTAAATTTATTTCGGGAGATATTTTTACTAAATATCTCTGCAATTTTTTTTGCATTTTTTCATTGATTTTCTCTGATTCTCTATAAATTCTTTTGCTTCTACTTTAATCTTTGCTTTACATCT